ACTTTTTGTGTTATCATAGAAACCCTTTGGCAGTTTGATGAAACACCTTCTTAAAATAATGTTTTTAAACGCACAAAGCAAAATATATGGGATTATAAAAGAAGCCAATTATCTTGAAATGCAGATTAAGAGCCTTGATCTAGGATAATATCTAACACTTACATAATTCATTAAGGATTTTAAAGTACTTTACATTTGATCCTTGGAGCAACTTTGTTAGGTAGGTGCTATCGTCCCCTTTTTACTCTTGAGGAAATAGGTTCAGTGAGGTTCAGTGACCTGTTTATGGTCACACAGTATCAGGGCCAGGTCTCTCTTGACTCCAATTCCAGGATCCTTTCCAGTGGAAAGTGGATGCTTTAAAGGGAATCAGTGTGAATGATGAAGTGAAGGATGAATTTGGTAGTAGATGGAAAGATGGAGGCAGAAAGAATTTAAGAAGACAAATTTGTGGTCTCATAGTATTCCAAGCCCATGGTAATGACGACCTAGAGTAGAAAGAGGTGGGAGGAAATCACTACAAGAGATTTCATGGAGGTAAAAATGACAGACCAAAAATAACACCAAGATTTTAATCCCGGGTGACTGGGTGAATAGTTGTACCCCTTACATAAATAAGGAAGTTGCAAGTGGGGAGCAGTTTGGAGGTAAGATTAATAAGCTTCATTTTGCATAGTTTGAGGGACATTCAGTTAAAAATTGTGACATCTATAATTTGAGATTGATATCCAAAGGGGCTGGAGAAGGGATAAAGCTGGAGATATGTATTTGGAAGCCATCTGCATCCAGATCAGGGATTCTTAATCTTTCGTTGTTAGAGACCCAGAAGGGTGCTAGTAAATGTTGGACAACTGGCTCTTGAGAGGAAAAGATATATCCATAGCGTACTGCATTGTTATCTTGTTTCCTTACTTCCTTAAGTCTAAACAATGAGTAAAAGAGTAAATCAAGATCTGGTTGCCTATTTCTGAGATATGAATGCTCACACTGAAAATTTAGTAATCAGTTCACTCGTATGAGCTGGCTCTAGCACACCCAATCCAATCAACATTTATTAAATGCCTGCTATTTACCAGGCACTGTGCTTAGTTCTATGGAGTTAAAACTAGGCATTTGAAACCCTCAATAGACCCTTTTGTTTGGTAAGGCCTATGAACCTCTTCTCAAAATAATGGGTTTTAACTGAAAAGAAAATGCATAGGATCACAACAGAAACTAATTATGGTGAGATAGTTACCAAAGTATTAAAATTTTAAAAAAGTTCAGGGACCTTCCCTCCTCACTCCCCACTGCCTGATCTAGATAGCAACTGAAGCAATGACAGTGAATGAGATGTCCAAGGGACTGAGTGGAGTTGAGAACAGACTTTTTTTTTCCTATGTAATTAATAATTTATTAATTAGGGCAGCTAATAATCAATAAATTGATGATTAGCCATTTCTCTCCATTATGAACCAGGTGTGTGCCTTCTGACAAAAACTCTGCTAACAAATGAAAGTCAACCCTGATTGGTAGACATTTAATTAGATGTTGGGTTAAAAGCTGTCAGCTCCTCCTGCTAAGAATGTGGCTTGATCATGAGACTCAAGGCATTTGGCCAACATAAGTCATTTCCATCTGGATCATTCTGACTAGTTTTCTCCTTCATAATCTGGGTTGTCCTGAACTCCAATGGAGAAACTCAAGGCAGAGGTTCCTTCCCTAGGCAAGGGTCTCACTCAGACTTAATTCTGTTTATACTCTAAACAAAATCTAGGTTTCCCAGGTGGGTGGAGTCCTGCCCAACCCAGAACAGACTTTCAAGAAAGCAGAGAAAGCCAAAAGAAATTTATCTTGAGTCTCCAAAGAGTTTTCTCTGAAAATTTCTACTTGAAAAGAGCAAAAAAGTGGTGAGAGGTCATTGAAAACCTTTAAGTCTTGCTTGTGTCTTACACTCCATGCAGGCTCTCTCACTTTCTGTATTTCTGGACTTTTTGCTGAAGTGTCAAAGAACCACATCATAACTAGCTTTCTCAGTTGTGTCATCACCAGCAGGTATAAAGAAATAACAGAACGTGCTGAGGATTATTCAAGCCAGATGAAAGCTTTCAGAAAATGCAGCGTATCTCCGTATGTAGGGCTCTGCCAATTCTGTCCAGAAGTTAGATTTTGATGCAGCAGAAACACATTGAATAACCTTTAAAAATTCTCAGCTTGCTCCAGACAACCTCATTCAACACTTCCAGCACCAGTGACAACAAAGATTGGGCTTTTTCCTCTATGAATCTGCAAGGATCCCTATGTGGGTCTGCAGTATTGTACACTGCAGTCAAAAGAGAAAAACAAGCTGAATGGACTTCGTTCACAATTAGGCTTTCCTGTTCCCTTTCTGGAAGTCCATTATAAAAGCCCACTCTGGTTAAAAGCTTTGTAGATTGGCCAGGTATGATCTCACACAGATTAAAAGGATTCTCATTTACTGTCTCTCTTTTCTAAGTGAATTGTTGATAAATGGTTGGCAAGAAAGCAAACTGTGCATTCTATTCCAGAAGCTCTGCTTGGGAACACTGAGTTTCAGACTCAGTTTTCCACCATCCTCTCACCAAAGGTCTATGGGTGCCATCTTGTAAAACCAGTAGATTAAGTTGTTTGTTTTCAGTTAAAGATAAGAACTACTAACAAGTCTACATTAACAGAGACACATATATTAATTCATTCAAGTTCAAATTAAACCGTGAAGGAAAAAAAAGCTCTACTTCATTCAATTTCCTTGTCTCACTAAGGATTTGAGATTTGCATTTGAAGGAGAATCTGAGTGTATATGTTTTCGGATCTATGGGTATGATTTCTTGTTCTAGAGATATGAGAACAGGATGGCCATTAATCACAACTTAAGGGTTTGGGGAAGTATTGGGAGAGTAGAGATATTGACAACTTGGTCAATTAACACTTTTTCAAACCAGTGAGTTTTGCAGGCTAATACTTTCCAGGCAACGTACTTTACAGAGTATATGAGCCAATGTGGAATTTACAATATAGAAAGCATATCCATATATGTCAAAGGACTAGAAATCTTATATATGAACTATATGCTTGATTCTTTCCCTATAACACTATATGTAAATGTTCCTGTAGAGTCAGGGAGGGGGAAAACTATCCCTCCACACCCCAGCTTGATTCTCAAGCAGAAGTATAACAATTTTCAGTCATCCCAAGGGTCCCTGTAACACAACACTATATCAATAAATAAACAAATAAATAAAACCTTAGCATGCATAATTGCCCTCAAAAATCAATGGATTGTGGGAATAAGTTGCTGCTAGAACAACTGTAAGGGGAAAATGAGGGCCAGGGTGGGCCTGTCTCTTTTTCAAAAGTATCTCACACAAGAGATTCCTTCTGCACATTTACAGCAGTCCAATCTCCAGACCTAATAGTTTGAAGGATCAGGCTCATTAATTCCTATTGTGTAGAATAATGGACCTAGAGCTGGGAGAAATCTCAGAGGTCATCTTGTTTAACTCCTTCATTTATTTAACAAATGAGAAAAGTGTGGCCTAAGGAGATTAAGTGGCTTGTCCAAGATCATCAGAGAATGAATTTGAACCCAGGTCCTTTGATACAAAAGCTTGTACTCTTTCCACTATACAACCATAGTCCTCTATAGTCTTCAACAGTTATAAACTTCCAAAATTTATACTTTGAAACCATCTATCTTGTTGCTTACAGCAGCTAGATGGAACAGTGGATAAAGTGCCAGGCCTAGAGTAAGTCAAATCTGGCCTCAGACACTTATTAGCTGTGTGACCCTGGGCAAGTCATTTAATCCTGTTTGCCTCAGTTTCCTCATCTGTAAAATGAGCTGGAGAAGTAAATGGCAAACCACGCTAGTATCTTTGCCAAAAACAAAACAAAACAAACAAAAAAAAAAGCCAAAAGGGGTCACTAAGAGATAGACATGAGTAGAAAATGACTAAATGACAACAACCCTATTTGCTTACTCGATATTTAGATTTTGTTATATTTTTTCTTGATGTAAACTATAAAGTTATCATGCTTTTCTGAGGGCATTTAGCTCTCACAGCTGCCAAATATTAGAGAAAAAACCTATTAGGTAGTAACAAAATTCTATGCATCTCATGTCCAGTTTTTCTCAGATTTTAATTATTGGACAATGTCAATTGCCTCTCTACCATGAAGTCTTCCCTCGTCCTTCCTGGTTGGGAATTACTTTTATTTTCTTCTTGGAGTTCTCATAGCACTTTTTTTTCACATTTCTAAATTATGTGATTAAATTATATTTAATTATGTGATTAAATTATGTGATTAAAAAAGTTTTGTTGTTGTATTTTTTATATTACAAACATTTATAGGTTTCTCCACTTTGTGAGAGATAAAGAAAATAAAATAATAAAGTATAACTAATAAAATATGATTAATTTCACTTAAAAGTGAAATTTTAAGAAAATAAAATAATAAAGTATAACTAATAAAAATGATTAATTTCACTTAAAAGTGCATATAACCTTCTCCTCCTCTGCCTCACCTCTCTTTCCAGGGCTAGGATATTAATAAAATAATGTGCTTTTCACACCACTGAGCTTGGCAATCCTGTAGAATATAATTATGTAATCTCATGCATTTCAATTATCAATATCTGTGTCTGTGAGACTATGTGTTCAATGAGATCCAGAACTATGTTTTCTATAAATTTTGCATCTCCCCCGAAGTGCTTTGCATAGAACAAATGCTTAATGAATGTTTAATGAATAAATGAATTAATATGATGAAAGAATCACGTATCTTTTAGTATTACTTCAAAAAGGTATATTAGTATCATTTAAATATTATGTAATTAGTATTATGTGATATTAGTATGTTATATTTATAAGTATTTTAGTATTATTAAAAGTTATAGAATTCCATTTAATAAATTCAAATTATATTGCAATGAAGATGAATTCATTTGCAAGTAATCATAGTATTTATTCCACTTTTTTTCCCATACTTGTTTGAAACAGACCTCATTAGAAGAACTTGATACTGTTCTCACCTCCATATTCAAAGCTGAGATACCACATTATGATCTTAGAAACCTCCAACAAGAAATGCACCATCAAGAAAGTGAGTACTTTTCACCTAAAAAGTGGGAGATTTTTGTGTCCCTATCTTACCCATTTACCTACAGAGTAGAATGTATTCAAGGTAAGACTGAAGGCCAAGGAAGCTATGCCTTGTATGCAGTAATATTGTTTTTGCCTATACTTAGCTTTCCCTCATGTGTTATTTGGCATTCTAGTCATACTACCTTAGCTTTATGCTCAAGAAATCATAAATCTTCAATTTTTAGACATTTCTCAAGTATTATTTTCCTTCTTTATTTCTTTCTTCCATTTATTTTTTCATTATTTTTAAGTATGGCCACTTAGAGTTAATGATGTATTTTAATTATCCAAAAATTCTATCCACTTTCTCATTAAATATTTGGAAGAAATTTTGTTAAGGGGTAGAAGGAACATAATTTTCAATTAATTTCTAAAGAAAAGAACTAGAAAGAAAGTTTGTGCATTATTTGATCTCAGAGCAGCTGGCTCAGTCTAGGAATCATGATTATTCTGGGATCAATCTTGCTCAAGTGAGTTTGTTTAATCCCTAAGATCACAGACAAGGTGGCACCAATCGGTTAGGAAATGAGAAGTTTCTACTTTGAAATAGAAAATTTGGAAGGTTCCCAAAAAATGTTGTTGTTCATTTGTTTCCAGTCAGATCATCTGAGGCAACTAGCAGCCTCAGTATAAGAGAGAGTGTGTGTGTGCATGTGTGTGTGTGGTAAAGGGTTGCCTCTGCAGTTTATTTTGAAGCCAACAGAAGCATAAAGTCTTTTTGCTTTATTTTTTTCTTATAGATTTTCATTGGTATCTTTTGTTTTTATATCACCTATGTTTCCCAATAGATCCCACTCTGCATCCTCTCCCAGAGAACTCTTCTTTATTACAAAGAATAAAAAAGGGGAAAACAGCTCAGCACCCCCTCCCAAACCAAAAAAACAAACAACTCAATAGCTTTTTGGACAGCAAAAGACTAGACTGGGGGGGGGGGGGATCTTCCATATTTATATATTTAATGTACTTTTTTAAAATTTATTTATTTGTTTTAATTTATGAAATAAAACAGGCATTTCCATAACATGCTATAATAAAAAAGATGATTGCACATGAAACTGAAAATCTACAGCTTGCTATTCCTTTTAAATATATAATAAAGTTACTATGTAAATTTCTTTTCCCCCACTTTTTTTCTTCCCTCCTCCTCTGCCCTAGAGATGGTACCATTAGACAATATGTGTGTGTGTATGTATATATGTAAAATTATTCTACATGTACTTCTATTTACGAGTTCTTTCTCTGGTTCCAGATAACATCATTCTTCATATGTCCCTTATAGTTAATAGGAGTATTTATAATAGTCACTCCCCCAATTTGCACTAGGAGGTTGAATCCTCTCAGGCAGGGATGGAAAGTTGTAATATGGTCATCCAGGTCTAAGGTATTCAGGAGGTATGAACTTTGAAAGCAATAACTCAAAAGCCCCCTTAAACATCTTTACCTTTAATAGTCACCCAGAGGACATAAACACATTTGCTGAGATAACACCATAAGAACAATAGCTAGCAAACACCCCCCTCCACAAACCTAGAAAACATCCCCCACAAATAGATAATATCAGTAGGAAAAGTGGGCAGACACAATATGGTGGAGAATGTAAATTATTTGCCCCCCATATCCAGTAAATGTCTGAAGCAGGATTCAAACTCTTGGCTTCAAGTTCAACACTCCATCTGCTGCACAGACTACCTTATAAAACCTTTGTAACAGGGTTACATAATCATGAGTTTAAAAAAAATCCCATATTGGCCAATAATTTTTAAAATGTTTGGGAAGTAAAAGGCTAAGCCTCGATTATCTAGAAATCTTTCAGAATGCCACTTAAATGCTTGAGTAAAAATTGGATAAATCTTGCTGTGGATGCCAGCACTTGCCTCCTATATGTTGATGTTTTTTCTTTTTAATTTTTATTTCATTTTTAATTTATGAAATAAGACAAGCATTTCTGAAGTGACTTCTCAGTCTGATACTATATCTCAATTAGAGTTTGAAAGTCAGAAGTCTGAGTGAGAGTTTTTTTTTCTAACAAGACTGACTAAGGACCTGATTATCAAGATAGAATGGAAGGGATAGATTTGAGATAATAGGAAGAAAAATGGTAGGATTTAATCCTGGAAGTAAGGATCAAAAGACAATTATAACTCAAAGTTTTCTTCCCTGAGAGTTTATCAATATGGCGAGGCAGAGTGGGGTAAAGACCGTTGGCCTTGGACACTGGAAAGAATTGGACAATAACCTTACATAATTAACATTCACTAGCTGCACAGTCACAAACATATCGCTTAGTCTGACTCCTTATCTATAAGATGAGGATAAAAATATTAATAGTTCCAAATTCCCAGGGTTGTCATGAGGGCCAAATAAGATATTGCACATAGAGTGCAAGTCTTAAAGTACTTGTAATTGTTGGTTATAATTATGGAAACATTATTTAATGAAGGAGAGCCAGCCACAGGGGAAGTCATGCAGGAAGATGAGACATTATATTTTTGACATACTTAATTTGAGTTGTTGATGGAGTGTGATAGGGCTTATAGGGAGGAGGCAGTGGGATTACTTGAGGGCAGGGTGGGCAGTTCACAGTTAAAAATTTGGTATGTTGTTGAAGAGCCTCCAAAGAAAACATGACAGAGTTTGAGATGTGAGTTCTACAAAGAATAAGCCAAGCACAGTTCCAAATATTACATAACCTGGTTTCACATATTGTTTTCTCTCTCAACCTTCATTTACTAGCTGAAGGGACTTGATGGCCATTTGTGCAAGAAGGATTGTAGGGAGATTGATTATATGACAGTTTTACCCTCTTGGTAGCCAGTTAACATGTCCCTACAGACCATGATGGCTTCACAACCCATGCAGTGGAACATTCTATTCCACTCGAAACACATGACTGCCTCCTATATCCTGGTTTTTTTTCCTTAATCCTTTTCAGATGAGCTCAGCAGTTTCTTATCTCTGCAATCTCATTTATAATCAATAAAATGCATACTTCTCTGTTTATGTGTCTATATACTTTTAAATATGTGTGTGTGCATATTTACATTTCTAGCAAGTAGGATGACAGGAGGGGAAAAAAGATGGAAATATCTTGGGTGAATTTCCTTAACAAATTAGTGAACACTGTCATGTCTTCACTTTTTTTCCTTGTATTTATTATGCTTATACTTTTATTTTAGTGGCTTGCCATGTAAAACTTAAAATACTTCTTTAGAGTTAAAAATAATAATAAAGTGCTCTTCTTGAGAATAAACCAATTCATGGCCTTTAATTGAATTCAAAACATTAATTCAGTGCAGTGTTTAATACAAAGGACAAAGAAACAATCCAGAAAGAGTATTGTACTATATAATTCTGAAACAGAACAACACCGACTTCTTAAAACATACTTGCCCTTCCCTAACACCTTACTTCTGTATATTCCATCCCTGCCTTGGTAAATCCCATATTCCTATGTAGCCTCCTACTTCTCATGTATTCACTCCCACACTCCCATTCAAAACCCTCTAAAAGCCCAGCTAGTGAAAGAAATCTCTTAAACAGAAATGACAATAGATCAGCTCCATTTATTAGAGTGTATTATTAACAAAGTGAACGTTATAGATTTGATTCCCTACTGCTATCAGTTAGTTTGGGGCAGAGCAAATAATGGTCCATTGCTAACTAAGATTGCATTCCTAGCCCTGGGTGGAAGTATATGACAAGTGAAAGAACATGGGATTTGGAGTCAGTAGACAAATCCAGGCTTTGCAATTTATTTGCAATTTATTAACTTTGTGATGTTGAGCAAATAACTCAACCACGCTGAGCCTCAGTTTCCTCATCTGGCAAATAACTCAATTTCTCTGATTCTCAGTTTCCTCATCCATAAGATGAGATTGTTGAACAAGAGGACCTTCCAGTTCTAAATCTGTTAATAGTATGATTCTAAGCAGGTGAGAGGATAAATAATGCAGAAATAAATACGCCATCACTGCGAGAAGGATAGTCTAAAGAATATACCCTGCTGACTATGATTCAGTAGCATCATTTTAAGCTATTTGCTTAAGGTATGTAAAATGACAGTTTAGAAGAGAAGAGGCAAACATGGCCTGTAGGTGAGAAATTTTTAACAAAATAAATAAAAATACAATAAAATATAGATAATATTATATTTTAAAGCTAAGTCAATATGTTGCATACAAGGAACCTTATTATAGGCTCCATTTTTATTTGAGTTTGACACCACTAATTTAGAGTGAAACTTCCTAGATGGTGGGCCCTGAATCATGGTCAACTTCTCTATGGTACCTAATATATTGACGGTGCTATCTATCATCTATGACTACTACCTTAATACTTTGAATGTAGTAAGTGTCTAGTAAATGCTTGGTGAATGAATGAATGAATTTTGTTGTTCAGTCCTTCAGTCATTTCTGACTCTTTGTGATCCCACAGACCATACGGTCCATAAGGTTTTCTTGGTAAAGACACTCAAGTAGTCTGCTGTTTCCTTCTCCAGTGGATTAAGGCAGACAGAGGTCAAGTGATTTGCCCAGAGTCACTAGTAAGCTGGTAATTATCTGAAGTCAGATTTGAACTCAGGTCTTCCTGATTCCAGGCCCAGTGCTCTATCTGCTCAACCACCTAGCTACCTGAATAAATGAATGAATGAATGAATGAATGAATGTACCTTCTCATTTTAAAGATGAGGAAACCGAAACCCAGACATTAAATGTCCTTCCCAATGTCATATGACTGTTAAGTGGCCCTTACAACTTCAGCTACCATCTCAAGCTCTCACATGAGGGTTTATGAAGCTATTTTTCCCTTTAATGTTAAATTTAGTGGTATGACTCAAGATTGTCATGTACAAGAAGAAATCTGTGGGAAAATAATTGGGGCAGACTGTTTCTCAACCAAAGAGAATAGCCAAGAGGTGGGTTAGGACAAAGTACTTTAGCAAATACTGAAGAGGAACAG